AGAGAGAGGGAGGGAGGGGAAGAGATGAGGGGGAGGGAGAGAGAGAGGGGGGGGGGGAGAGAGAGAAGGGGGAGAGAGAGAAAGAAGAGAGGAGAGAGAAAGAAGAAGAGAGAAGAGAGAGAAGAGAGAGAAGAGAGAGAGAGAGAGAGAGAGAGAGAGAGAGAGAGAGAGAGGAGAGAGAGAGGAGAGAGAGAGAAAGAAAGAAGAAAGAAAGAAAGAAAGAAAGAAAGAAAGAAAGAAAGAAAGAAAGAAAGAAAGAAAAAGAAAGAAAGAAAGAAAGTGTGTGTGTGTGTGTGTGTGTGTGTGTGTGTGTGTGTGTGTGTGCGTGTGTGTGTGTGCGGTGTTGTGCGTGTGCTGTGTGCGTGTGTGTGTGCGTGTGTGGTGCGTGTGTGTGTGTCTGTGTGTGTGTCTGTGTGTGTGTCTGTGTGTGTGTCTCAATCCATTAATATTCATAATTTCAATTAATTAGGTTTCTGAGGAACAGATACAGATGTAAATTCTTTATTCAATACCAGTACTTTATAATTGGAAAAACCTTTGGAGCAAACAGCTAAAATTCTGTATTTTATACTTTCCAATATGGAAAAGTAACACTGCACTACAAAGAGAAGACGAAGAGAAACGAAAGAAAAGTGAACTTTATCTTGTCTCCTTTCAGTTCCAGTGTCATTGGACTTTGTCAAACACCAATCTATTCAAATTGAAATAAACATCCCAATCATCTTGAACAATAACATTTGTCTTTTCCTTGTCATCACAGATAGTAATTATGACTATCCTACTCACTTCATACAAGCAATCATGTTCCCTAATCAAAATGTACCAGATATATAAAAAAAGAGAAAAATACAAAAGAAAAAAAACAGCAAAGCAGAAAAAAGAAATCAAGGAAAAAAGAACTGGAATGCAAATGCGGCAATGTAGCTCCTTGACATTAACATATTAATTGACATTTTACAACTTTGATATTCTGAAGGTCACTTAATAAGCCGGAGTTCCACTAGTCAGACCCAGCTCTGGTCTAGCTGCCTAGCCTCCTGTATTGGGTACATTCAAATTATTCCACCAGGCTTGGCATATTTAGACTGTCTCAAAAATGTTTTTATTAGTATCAAAACTGCATAATGATATTCAACTATGATGATCATTGCCTGTGTAGAAAAACATTAGGATGTCTGTCTCTCCTAACTCCCTACATAGTACCTTTACCTGGCTAAAAGGAAATAATTCTCAATTTAGAGTCCAGAGGCAGATAAGGCTAGTGGAACTTTGGTTTTCTAAGAATCTACCACTTATATTCAAAAGCATTCTGACAAAGTATGGAGCCTGTTAGGTCTGGTTGTCTGCTGCAATGCCAGAAGACTTAACTAATGAAAAAGAAACTACTCAACAACTATCACTGAGTTCACAGGTATACTGCTTGAGTTCTATACCTACTTTTTTTTCATTATTATGGATTATGATAAAAGATTGGAAAGCTGTATATTGATAATAAAAATATACACTTTGTAAACATCAAGATCATTCACAGAACTTTACTATTATTTTTTTGTCATCTTACAGTAAATATATCAAATGTGGAAAATCAAGCCTTGCATAATAAACAATTATATGTCAGGCAATTTTTGTTATTTTATAAAGCACATACACATTCATGCTGGTATACATTACCCTAACAAATCTCTTCTCTTTTCTCTTTCTCTTTCTCTCTTTCTTTTTCTCTATCTCTTTCTCTCATTAATGCACACATACACTCAAACAGAGAATTTGTTCAACTGCTTTAGCTATCACATATAAATCATATGGCTTACTTATTAATCTTTTACAATATTTTACAAACAAAATAAATTATCTATTTTGAACTCATCCAGATCTTTTTAAATTTTGTAAAAAATAAAATCACTTGTGTGTCTTCATGTGTGTCATGAGCAAATCCTGAGAAGTAAACATGGTACCACAGTCACTGCATGGGTAGACATATATAATGCTAACATGCTGCCTTGGTTCTATATCTCCACTGTCCTCAACTACTGCTTCAACAGTTTCTATGGCTTCTGTGCAATCCTGAAGGAGATTCTCTTTGGCTGCATAGGCAATGGCCTCAGTCCCAGCCTCTTCGATGATGTGCTCGACATCAGCTGTGTAAATCTGGCTGCCATCAATCTCTTCGCACAACTCAGTCTTGATTCTCTTGTAGACAACCGAGGTTAATGGGGTTGATCTGGAGGAGGCATCTGATTCTATTTTTATTTGGACTGGCTGGTATTCTTCTGGGTGAGCAACTCTCTGGTGGGTATCCAGCCCAGGTACACTATGGAATTTTTTGTTACATATTTTGCACTGATGCTTGGGATGATTTTGCTCAGCACGAGCATGTTTCTTCATATGACTTCTTAAGTTGTAATTAGTCATAAATCTCGCACCACATATAGTACAAACAATACGTTTGTCATTTAAATGAACTCCTCTAATATGAGTACGCAGAGATTTGCTAGTTTTGAAAGAGGTCTGGCAAATTACACACTTGTAATCACGTATATCAAAATGACTTCTGTGGTGATCTTCATAATATTGTTTATGATGGAAAGCTTTATGGCAAACATTACACTGATATTTACCCTCATTAGTATGTAGAGCCATATGGTTTTTATAAGTGTCTGCTGTTTTTAAAGCTAAACCACAATATTCGCACGTAAAGATTCGGTCTTCTGAATGACTCCTCATATGTCTAGCTAACTTAGCTTTTGTTACTCCTTCATAGCTACAAAGACCACATGGGAACTGCTTTGGGTCCCCATGCTTGTGCATTCTGTGGACTCTCAACCCAACTTTCTGTGTGAAAGTCTTCCCACATTCCTCACACAGATGGCTACCCGTCCAAGGAGCAATACCAAGTGAATGTGTTGGTGGTGCCTCTCCATTTTTAATCTCGTACTGAACACCATGTCGCACGTGGGCAATTGTATTTTCCTCTCAGCCATCGGTCATCTACTCCTTTTCTGCTCGACTTCTTGGCTACCTGCTTTGCCCTCAACTCATGAAATTTCCTCAACCTCACAATCCCACCTTTAGACAAGTGCATTTTCATTCTATCATAAGCATCTCTCTCAGTTTCCCTCCAGGTCCTCCTCCTCCTCCTCCTCACTATTATCTGTCCTGATTCCCTCTCTGCCTCCTGTCCTTCTGTTTCTCCCCAAGACAATCTCGCCCTGGAAGGAAGAAACAAATTGCATGAGGGAGGAGGTGGACAAAGAACATTCCTGAGGTCTATAGGAGGGTAATTTCAATCAAGCTAAGGTTCCAGAATCTGGAGCAGTATTCACTAAAGGTCTATGACTGTTCTTTCCAGTTTTGTCTCTGATTTGCAGTGGTGCTAAACCTCAATGTTAATGCTGGTAATGGAACAAACATGTAAATCATTATAGACCCTATTTTGATATGTTGTAATAATTCAGTAAGGTAAATATAGCAATATATGTTGCTTATATCATAATGATGATATTACACATTTAGTATACCTAAATGTGATGTGGCATTAATACATTTATTGACATTGCATCAGTTGTAAAGGCAGGTGCCACTATTTCTAATTTTTCAATAAAATACAGCAATAAAAATGTAGAGGACAGCTAAATTAGCATTTATCAGAAGTGGCCTCTGAGCTTTTCTTACTATTTCCAAAGTGGAATAATATTCAACAGAAGAAAAATTGTATAAGGGTAAATGAAAGAGAGTCCTTATGCATAAGGACAAAATTAAAGACAATCCTTACAGATGTGATAAGAAAACATCTATGAAATACAACGAACAACTAAATTAAAGGATGACAAAAATCGAAAGGGGCTTCCAAGTTTTTTTCTATTATATTCAATGCAGAATGGGATACTTCCACACCTGTCCTAAAACTTTGGTCAAACCACAGACCAAAATTGCTAGTCAAAGAAATTTTTGAGGAGAGTCAGACAAATCTGTTGTCTAAAGATAAAGCTAATCAGACATTAGTAAAGACAAATAGACTGGAAGCCCCTACTGGTATATTGTCAACTATTACTTGATCTGCTTTTTACATATTAGCAATAATTTTCTATTTAAATATACAAACAGCATCGTGCAGCTTCACAGCTGATGCAATAACAAAACTATGGTTGCCCAAATCTTAATCAAATATATAAAATATATGATACTATTATTATTATAGAAGTAAGATTCACTGTAGTATGTATTTTGAACATATTACTGCAATCAATTATCTTCATAGAGGCAATAACAATGTAAATGTCTGTTCTATTACCAGCATCAACCTTATGATATGGCAGCAGTGCAAATCAGAGACAAAATCACAAAGAAGTCATTGACCTTTCATGAATACTGCCCAGTGCTTTTCTACATATGCTGCAGTATTATAAATGAGTGGTGATGGCTCTTCTGTATTTGGAAGATATTTCATTCTTCCCAGTAACTTGAGGAAATTTTGTATTTGAAAGAAAATGGCAAATACAGAGACACACACAAACACAAACTCATATCAAGTGGGCTGGGAAAAATTACCTTAAATAAAATGGATAGGACTTGCAACTATTTTCTGGTGTTTCATAGATTAAATAACGATGTCCCTCATATTTTTTGATAACCTCATAACACACAAAAACAACACACACAAGTACCTCTTTCGTTATACCAATGATTTGTTATAGCTTTTCCACCCATTTCACCTGTGTAACATTTCTGAAACACAGGGTATATATGCCCTAATTGCTTCATCACAATGAACTGGAGACCAATTCATTACATCTTCTATATATTTCTTTTGCATGTCTTTGTTTCATTCTGACACAAATGTCAATACACACACTTTGACCCATGATATGACGACAAAATGGTGTCATCTATTTCTGCGAACTAAATTATTTGTAATGAAATCAACACTTTGTGGAATAATCACGACTAATGATTTAACCACTAGCCGCCGGGCGGCATGTATGTACATGATATGGCTGTTGTGGACCGAAAAATGGATGGCATCGTATCATGACCATTCCCACGTCATTGGTTCGTTGGACAGAGTTTGTTTTTCTCCGATGGTAGCAGCTTCACTTATATGGTAAAGATTTTAGGCAATAGCACCTATAATGAAGACCTTCAAAATTATATTTTTTAAATTATAGCAAAATAAAGGCTTTTAGGTGCCAAATGTTGCTCGCAAACTACTGAACGAGCCGGACGCAAACAGGGGAAACTGCTGATGCGCGCCAACAATCCTGTTATTATGTCCAACTTTTTTACCCAGCGGTATTGGGTTAATGTTACTAGAAATTTCCTGCTTTGGATATTTCTATTGGTCTCACAGAAATCTGCAGGTTTTAAATGGATGATGGAGAATGATTCTAATACAGGATATAAAAGAAAAGTTAGCCAACATGCTAATGGATAGATGTATTATAATTGCTATCGTTTGGTTCTATTTCATCAAAGGTTAATATCCTTGTTTTTTCTTTTTGTCTTTCTCCCTTTCTCTCTCTCTCTTTCCTTCTCTCTTTTTCTTTTCTCTCTCTTTCTCTTCTCTCTTTCTCTTTTTTTCTCTC